TTTTTATTTAAAAACAATTAATTAAAAATTTAAAATCTAAACCATTTAAATGAGATCTCAATAATCAAAATCTAGTAAGCTTAGAATGCTCATCAATATGAGGAGTACTAAAATTGGTTCAGTGGAAAAGCTTGGCCTTCCAGAGTTCCAGTCGCTATTCTCCTCCTCTCTCCCTATTCTTCTTCCTCTTCCTATATTTGTCGGCTTCCAATTATTTTCTAACTTTTCTTCTCTTCTATGAGTAGATCATGATCAGTCGCCAGTCTCCCTTATTCCCTGTGCTCCTCCTAATTTTGTTATCTCGTAAAAGTGTGTTTGGTAAAGTAATAGTAATTAAAGAATGAATAGAGATATCCTGGGTTCCCAAAGACTATTGGTCCTGTTTGATACGAAAGACTATTGGTCCTGTTTGATACAAAATATTAAAAATAAAAGGTAAGATTGAGATTAAGATTAAAAACATTTTGTTAAAAGAATGTTTAATATGAGTGATTGCTTGTTACTTAGGATTGGACAAATTCATATATGTAAGTTTGGGAAATAAAACGAGAAAAGTGGTATTTCCTAATCCTACCTACAGAGATTTAATCCCATGTAATAAGAAATTACTTATGCTAAATACAAAACCAATTTCAGTGCTTATTATCTTGATGAGAACCCTAAGCTCATCAGGTCTGGACCGTCTATATGTGATTTGAACGGTCTAGATTTAAATTTTTAATTAACTATTTTTAATAGAAAGGATCATTTTTAAAAAAAAAGATAATTAAGAGATTATATCTATTTTAGATTCTACATATATTAAAATAATTATTTTAATAAAATAAAAATAAAAAAGAAATCACATTCGGACCATCCAAATGAGATATAAATAATCAAGATCTGATGAGTTTAGGGTGCTCATCAAAGTTATGAGCATTGAAACTGGTTCGTGCTTAATACTTTTTAATGATTTTTTTCAGTTCAAATCCTAGTCCTTATCCCTTATTTTTAACGACATACTAAATGGGACCATTCAGTCTAGTGGCACAAGATATTTTAGGGGAATTTTAATTGGGATAATGACAACGATTTAGAATTTATTTGAATTTTAGCAATATTTTCATTTCAAAAGATAAGATAATATCAAATCGATATCACAACAATCAATGTATGAAAAAAAAAAGTTATATATTAACTTATAAAAACAAAATAGTAAAATTTAAATCGTCCAAATTTAATTTGGCCTGTCAAAAAAATGTTTGAACCTTCTTGCTGAGTCCTTTTTTTTTGGGGCAGAAATGTCACAAAATTGCTTCATAAATTGGTCAAATAGACACCCATGATGCCGGCTAAAGCAATGATGACTGGTGCTTCCGTGAGGCATGATTGATTAACTTCCTATACCAATTTTTTTTTATTCTCATCGTTAGATTAGCATTCAACAATTTATATTTAAGAAAAAAACTTAGGTCAAATTACTTATGTCCGTTATGTCAAGTTCTCTATAATTATATATAGCAATGTGTTATCTTTTGTTTTTCATAATTTGTAATTAAATGCTATTAAACATTGATATTTCAAAAATAGGACACATGGTTATTGTCCTATATTTAATATCTTATAAAAATATTATTTTAATATCAACTAACGAAAAAGTATATAAATAAATTTAAATTATTAAAATTTGATTTAAAGTTCATTAAATTATTAAAATTTGATTTAAAGTTCACATATGTATATTTTTATTAAAATATTTTATCTATCTTTTTTATTTTTATAAGATATTAAATTTTAACCATTCAAAGTTAATTTAATAGTAAGGATAAAGGAGGGGAAGAAAGAGGACAATAAGGGAATTGGACAAATTCTTTTCCTGAGATGTAAACTATGCATCTCCTTATCATTTTGCGTAGGACAAGGACACGTCTGAAATTACAATATATATATATGTGTGTGTGTGTGAGTCAAACATCTTATCAATTTAGGCTATTTTATTTATTGAGAAACTGAAAAACTATTATTTAAATTCATAAATATTATAACCAAAATAAGAGTAATATAAACTATAATGACCAAACACTATAGCAAACCAATGATAAACATGTCTTTACATAAATCATTATATACAGGATAAAGTAATATATAACACTCGTATATTACTTTTCTAATACATTTAGTATCCTAATATTATTTTTTAATTATATTTAATATTCTAATTTTATTTATGATTCATGATGCTAGATACAAAATAAATAAAATTAAGATATTAAAGCATATTAAAGTGCAAGGTTGTTAGATGAAAGGATGCTATTTTACTTTTTAGATATGGGGCTATAGCATGTGATGGAATGTTTTTTTCGTACGTAATAATCTTTTGTGCGCGTGGCATTTTCAGTCATCGTCCCTGTCTACTTTGTTTGTTTTCCATCGGATGGGCGGTGCGCGGTGGCCGGGTAAGTGTGTGGTTGCGGGAAGCTCAAAAGCACTGATTTAGTAAGTGGTCCCCACTTTTGATCGTTGGACCCACGTCCTCTATTATGTTTGACGTTTCATAGAGTTCGCCTGTGACTTCGGGGGTACGTTGTCATAAGTAATAACTCTATATATAACAATTCTTTTTTTTTTTTTTTAATTTTAAAGTTTTGAAAATATGCAGGAAGATGATGATTTAAACCGAAAAAATATACAAATAAGAGGGTCATGGTGCAAAAGAGGTGTTGGAAATAATATTGATGAAGTGGTGAAGTCTATATTGAAATGTTATAAATGTCATTAGTAATGTAGTAAATGATTTATAACAAGGCCTTTTTACTTGTATTTTTCCAAATGTTGAATTTGTAAATTAAAAATGACATTGATAAAGTTGTTAAACTCATTACAAGGGTAATATTATAGTGGGAGAATTACAATAAGATCATAAGGAAGGGATTTAATTACCTTAAAGTTTATTGATAAGTGAAGAGTAAGTAATAACAAATTTTAAAATAGAGAATAACAATAGGTTTAGGTTGGTCTCTTGTTATTAGAATTTTTTTTACTAATTAAATTTTTTTCTTATAGTAATTCTGTCTATTATAATTTAGCAATATTGCAAATTTCTATTTTAATCATAAGCATTTATTTGGAATTTTGAAGTTCGAGATATTTTATTTTGGTTTTTGAAATTTAAAAAGCAATTTTTTAAAAAAGTTTTTGCTAACGAACATGCATCTGCGAAAACCATTATATTTACGAGATGTGATGGAAAGGAATCCTTGTCATTTTATACATAATGAAGCGCCACCCCTCTTTTTTTTATATATAATTGTTTGCACACGTGGCCCTTCCAATTATTATATTTATTTATTTTCTTTAGGTCACAATTCTATGGGCCGTCGTGGTCGCTGCATGGAAAAGCCTGCCTCCCCCCGTCACAATTCTATATTTGTCGGCTTCCAATTATTTTCCAACTTTTCTTCTCCTCTATAAGGAGACCATGATTAGTCCCCAGTCTCCCTCACTCCCCGTGCTCCACTTATTTTATTATCTCGTAAAAGTGCGTTTGAGTAAAGTAAGAGTAAAGAAATGAATGCAGTAGAGATATCCTGGGTTTTTCCAAAGATTGTTAGTTCCATTTGGTACGAAATATTAAAAATAAGGGATACAGATTGAGATTAAAATTAAAAAAAATTGTTAAAAGAATGTTTAGTATAAGTGATTGCTTGTTACTTAGAATTGGACAAGCTTATATATATGAGATTGAGGAATATTATGAGAGCGGTGGTATTTTCTAATCACACTTATTTAGGATTTAATCATATGTAATAAGAAATTACTCATACTAAATACTCTTTAATAGTTTTTATCAATTCTAATCCAAATTCCTATCCCTTATCTTTACCGACATACTAAACGGGACCATTTGTTCTAATGGCACAAGATATTTTAGGAGGATTTTAATTGGGATAATGATAACGATTTAGAATTTCTTTGAAATTTGGCAACATTTTCATTACAGAAGATAAAATAATATCAAATCGATATCACAACAATCAATTTATGAAAAAAAAGTTATATATATATAAACTTATAAAAACAAAATAGTAAAATTTAAATCGTCCTAATTTAATGTAGCTGGTCCAAAAAATGATTGAACCTTCTTGCTGAGTCCTTTTTTTTTTTTGGGAAAAAATGTCACTAAATTGTTTCATTAAATTGGTAAAATAGAAGGCCATGATGCCGGCTAAGGCAATGATGACTGGTGTTTCCGTGAGGCATGATTGAGGGGGGAAGAAAGGAACCTCCCCACTTTCATTGTGGTTAACTTCCCCTACCATTTTTTTTTAGTCTCATCGTTAGATTAGCTTTCAACAATTTATATTTAAGAAAAAACTTAGGTCAAATTACTTATGTCCCTTGTGTCAAGTTCTCCAATTACATATGGTCATGTGTTATCTTTTGTTTTGTGTGATTTATAATTAAATGCTATTAAATATTGATATTTTAAAAATAGGATACATGGTTATTGTCCTGTATTTAATATCTTATAAAACTATTATTTTAATATCAACTAACAAAAAAGAATATAAATAAATTTAAATTATTAAAATTTGATTTAAATAGTTCACATATGTATATTTTTATCAAAATATTTTATATATCATATTTATTTTTTATAAGATATTAAATTTTAACCATTCAAACATATAAGTAATTAAATTTTAAACATTTCAGAGGTTGCAATCTCCATCATTTTCGGCAGGAGAAAGCACAAGAACATGTAGCTTGGCTTTCTGGAAATTATTGTGGAAGTGGGGACACTATACCTATCGCATTTGCAGAATCTGCGAAAACCTACCGCTCGTGTCTCACGTTTCCTTGTCCTTACTTTCCTCCTCAATCGTGTAGCATTTAATAAAAGTCAGCTGTGATGAAGGCACTGTACGTAGCTGCCTCTATATATATGGAACAATATTGCTATGCAAGAACCATGCACAATCCAAACGCTTAGCTCAATATCTATCACCTTCTAGTGCACAATGAGTTCACTTGCTATAACCAAGTTCTTCCTCCTTTTCTTGGTCTCGTATCCTTCGATTTCTCTTACCTCTTCTTCCAGTGTACCTGATGAGTATACCTTTTCGGACCTGGATCTGGACAAATTCGTTTCCGAAAAACAAGTGTTCCATCTATTCCAAATCTGGAAGAAGGAGACCGGACGAGAATACCAAACTTTAGGAGAGGAGGCAGTAAGATTTCAGATCTTCAAAAGCAATTTGAAAGAGATCAGAGAGAAAAATGCAGAAAGGAAGTCGCCCAGTGACTATAGCTTGGGTTTGAACGAATTCTCAGATATGACGTACGAAGAGTTCAGCAAAATTTACTTGCATCAGACAGAGGAACCCATAATGGAAATCAACAATAGGAAAATGATATTGAACGACGCATCATGTCCAGATGCACCCTCTTCCTGGGATTGGAGGACCAAAGGAGCTGTAACTCGTGTTAAAAACCAAGGCAGATGTGGTAAGTTCAAATTTGCTTCGTTCTTCTGTTATAATCCAATTGCAGCATATAAGAGAAGCATATAATAGCAAATCAAATTCATTTTTGTAGGTGCTTGTTGGGCATTCGCTGGGACCGGAGCTATTGAAGGTATAAATCAGATAGTCTCTCAACGGCTTCTAGAACTTTCTGAACAACAACTCATATCTTGCTCCACAAGGCAAGGCTGCAAAGGAGGGTGGTACGTTAATGGATTTATATATGTCATCAATAATGGTGGTATTGCCTCAGAAAAAGCTTATCCATATACAGCCAACGATAGTGCTTGCAATTCTAAAGCGGTTAATGTCTAGACTTGTGTGAACTAATTGGGTAGTTTAAATATATCTATTTTTTTTTAATTATGGTTTTACTCTCATCCTTATTTTACTTTGATGCGGGCTGCAAACACAATCGCTACTATCGATGACTATGATTTTTGGGTTTACGATCCTATATCTGAAAATTCTCTCCGTTGTTATGTTTACAAGCAACCTATTAGTGTTTCCATATATGCAAGCCCGCATTTCATGTCCTACAAAAGTGTAAGTCATATTTTCATTACCTTATCATCATATCTCTACCATCCGACAAGACACATTTGAAAAGTAATTAATAATTGTTTGCTTAACTGTGACAGGGAATCTTTAATGGCGACGATTGCTCGGGCATTGCTTCATGCGACCAAAATCATGCTGTATTAATCGTAGGATATGGTTCATCAGGTGATGGTCAAGATTATTGGATTGTTAAAAACTCATGGGGAACCGCCTGGGGACAAAGTGGTTACATATTCATCAAAAGAAACACTGGTGCTACTGAGGGAGTATGTAACATAAACTGTCATGGCGGATACCCAATCAAAAGGAAGAAAGAAGCACCTGCCTTGAAGCTTGCTACTTCCATATGAAGCAGGCCCTCCAGGAATAATATATGAAGCCAGGCAATATAAAGCTGTGCGAAGGAGACCAGTTAGGTGTTGTACCGTGCTTGTATTGGGTATAAATAAATGGCAAATGATTTGCCATTGAATATAAATAAGCCAGGCGATATATAGTTGTGTGAAGTACACTACTTATGTGTTGTACTATGTATGTATTGTGAATAAATAAATGGCAAACGATTTGCTGTGGAATAAAGCTTATGTGTGTTTAATTAAGAATGAAGCCTCTCTCTCTCTCTCTATGTATATATATTTACTTCACCTTCTGATATTCATATTCATCAAGAAATCTATTATGAAAACTTGAGTGTTGTTTTTATATATGTGGATTAATAGTTTCTAAGTATTAAAATTGTAACCCAAATAAATCTTAACTAGCCCAATGCAAGTGAGTTTGAGATCAAATTGAACTAAAGACATAAAAATGATAAAATAAACTTGAATGACATGTTTTGTGTATTATAATGCAAAAAGTTTAGGATGCTGATTTTTTTCCTAGTGTTTCAAATGAAATTAATTTTCTCTTTTTCCTTGCTCTTAATAGTAGTCTAATACTTTTTCCTACAAGCATCTTGTGAATCACTAATGTTTAGTAATCATTTCCTTCGAAATAATTCGTAAGTTCTTATACAATTGATCAAGAGACATAACCAACAATGAATCTGACAAGACTCTCCTTCCCTTTTTTCCTTATTCCACGGGTAGCAAAAAGGGGAAGTAATTTACTTCAAAGAGGATCCTCCCTCCAGTTCTTTTTATAAACTTTAATTTCTTGAATTGATGTGGTCTCTCTCTCTCTCTCTTAATAAGCTACACTATGGAGATATTTTTTTATGCATCCATTTTTTTTCTTTTCATTTTTTCCATTTCTATGTCAAACAGCTTGTCATTAAAACAAAAATATCCTTTATACATTTGTTGGGCTTATGGATTGGCATCACACTTTGTTACGATTAAAAATCCTTTGTTTCATTTTTCACAAATTACACCAGGCCAGAGATAAAAGTTTGGCAAAAATCCAATGTCATTTGAGCAGGCAAAATATATTTGCAATCTTTTCATGTTGCCGTGTGCTGTAAGATTCATATGGTATATAGCATGATATACTCCCACAAGACACCCTTTTCACACAATAGTTAGATTGATATATTATATTATTTTTTATTTCTCTTCCTCCAAATCACTCTCAACCGTTTTTTTATTAATATAGATCCAAACTAACCTACACATTAGTTGGCCGAGGAGGGCATGCATAATTTTTTTAAGACCATATACATAATATTTTTTTTTTAGCCCAGGATATTCATTGCCAATAGCCATGATTAATCCCCTTGTATTACAGACTTTTCGAAGGGGCTTTAGTGCTGGCCATGAGACCCACTCCATACATACCATCAGGGATCGAACTCCTGACTAGATATTTAAGAAATCCAACTAAGTACTAACTTTCCTATCCATATTACCATATACATAATATTTTACTTCAAGGTTCTTGTCACCTGAAAACTCCTAAGCCAACGGGACTGTCTACCGCACAGGATTAACTTCAAACCAAGGTACTGAAAACCGGACCGGTAACTAAACCGGTTAAAACAGTGGGTTAAGGGTCAGTGGGTTAGATCGGAGTCAACCCGGAGTCAGACCGGTAAGAATTAAAATAATATATTTTTAAATGTATTAATTATTTTAAATGAAGATTAAAATAAACATAAAAGATATAATGATAAATGTTAAATATGCTGGCAAAAAAAAGTCAAATAACTTAGTCCTATCGCCTTTAAGCCATTTAGCGTGCTCAGGAACTTCAAAGCTAGAGGGTAGATACGTTAATTTGTTCCTCAAATACCCAAATGTCCATTGGGTATTTAAATTAACACAATTTTTTTGTTGTTCTTTTCTCTAAATGTCTTTTCAATGGTAATTTACTATTTCAAACTCCTCGGTTGCCCTTTTTTTAATTGTTTCTCTCGCCTTTCAAGGGACCGAAAGGGTGGATCCAGCTGGAGTTTTTATTGCTAGGTTCAAAGACAACCATCCACTCTCAAGTCGATCAGTTGTCTGCTTTTTCTTCCTCCTGGGTTTCGTCTCTCCCCTCATCTGTTTCATGTTTCAGCTATGTATTCAACTCTCATGCTCTGATTCATCTTCTTTAGCTATGTCTTTTATTCCATTTATGGCTTTTTTCTCCATCTATTTCTGCTTCATCTTTCTTTTATTCTTGTTTTTCTTCTTCATTTTCTAAGTTCTCCTTCTTGTCATTATTTCTTTTCTTGGCATCGGAAGCAGGCAGCGCCATTTTCTTCTTAACTCGGTAACTCGCCCAACCCAGCCGGTTATCCGAGTCACGTCCGGGTTATCCCGGTTTAGGACGGGTCGCGTCGGGTTAGATCTTGTCCGGTTTTGCAGAAGGACCGGACCGAACTGATAGCCGGTTTTCGGTCTGAACCGGCCGGTCCGGTCCGGTTTTCCATTCCATGCTTCAAACATATGAGAATTAATTCGCATTTATGAAGAGAATCCAAGCGCCCTTAAATTAACTCAAAATTCGGGAACAAGCACATTAATCTCAAACATAATCCTATGCGGGGGGACAGTGATCCGTTGGTTTAGGGCCTTTAAAGTCAGCAACATTAAAATAAAAAATTATGCAACGTGTAAAATATGTAATTGTTACTCTAGTATTTAGTACTACTAATATCCAAGTTTTCCCCCCAATAAATTAGGAGTGAAAATATACTATGCCCTATTAGGAGTTTATTGCCTAGCCTACTTTGGGCCTAACCTAGCGTATTTAGTAAATCGGTCAGCTCAAATTTAAGCCTACTGAAGGCCTCTTTGGTTGGCCTAAAACGACATGCATAATATATACTATTGGCTTTTTCCCCATAGGACCACCTGTAATTTTTAGGATACTGGATGCATCTAAGAAAATATTTCAGAGTATTGGATGCATTTTAATCCTTTTTTTTTTTCCAGCAAGAGTATAAGAGCACATGCATAATATTTTAGATCAAGATTCTTGCCAATTGAAAACTCCTAAACAAACGGAGCTGTCCCCCGCATTGGATTAACCTTCAAATATAACATGTGGGAATTAATTCGCATTTATTAAGAGAATCCAAATGCTTAAATTCACTTAAATTAGGTAACAATCACATTAAAACTCAGACATAATGAATCCTATGCGCGGGGGACAGTGATCCGTTGATTTAGGCTTTTAATTAAGTCAACACTTTTACTTTAATTATTCACGTGTAGAATATGTAATATAATCGTTAGTGATATCCAAGATTTTTCCCCTTTTTTAATCTGGCCGACAACTGTGAAGCTAGGTTGCATCCTCTGTATTTATAAAAATAAATGGTAAAAATGAATTTGAAGGGAAATGAATAAAGTTTAAAAAAACAATAATGAAACTTTAGGATCCATATATTCTAGGCTTTCACTCATCATCAGAAAATAACATGAAATAACTTGCCCTTAATGTGTCGCTTTGGGATTACTCCAAAAATTAACCGAATTAATGCAATATAGTGTACAATCCGGGTCGTATTCACTTTGAGGAGCCGAAAACGAAATTAAATCCTAATAAATAAATGTAAGTAACCTAAACTATAAAAAAAAAGATTTTTGATTTGATAATTGCTAAGTAAATACCTTGAATTAAATTGAATTCAAAATACTTTTTTTTTGTTTTTTTAATATAAAAATGATTGAAAGAAATGAAGAAGAAAGAAATAAAAATAAAACACACAAATAACAATGATAATAATCAATCATCCAATTCAACAACTCAGGCAATCCTCACTCCAAAAGATACGGGAGTTAAAACAATGAATTAAGAATTATAATTAAGCTTTTAATCCAACAACCGAGCCACCTCGAATTGTTACAAAATATTTTCCCAAAATTCTAATTTACTAATTGCAACCAGAATAGTAAAATAGAATTAAGAATGCTAAAAACCAATGCTTGATTAAAGTTCTTAAATCCAAAACAATAGAATTAAAGCTAGCAAGAGACAATATGA